GCTCTGGGCTGATGGCTCGGAGCCTGGAGCCTGTTTCCGATTCTGTGTCTCCCTCTCTCTCTGCCCCTCCCCCGTTCATGCTCTGTCTCTGTCTGTCCCAAAAATAAATAAATGTTGAAAAAAAAATTTTTTTTAAAAATTAAAAAAAAAAAGAAAATATACATATACACACAATATATATACACATATTGCCTGGATGTGTCCACAGGGGGAGCAGAGATAGTAACCCACTCAACCCCAAGATTATGACCCACGCCAAAGTTGGACGTTCAACCAACAGAGCCACTTAGGTGCCCCAGAGAAGAGAAAAATTTAACTTCATAAGAGATGAAAAAAACTGTAATTGAAACACATCAAATATTAAAAATCACAGGTTTTTTTTTTTTATCAGTCTGAAATGACTAACGGTCATTTTACATTCGTCTGAAAACTGATAAGAATCAATCATTTTTCCTACTTTTCTTGTATTAAATGTGTTCTCAGGGTAACCAAGAAACTGATGAAGGGACACTTCTCTTGTAGAATATCCAAACCGATAAAGAACAAAGGATGTGGGGTGCCTGGGTGGCTCTGTCAGTTAAGCACCCAACTCACAATTTTGGCTCAGGTCACAATCTTTTGGTCATAAGATTGTGCCCTGAGTCGGGCTCCACACTGAGTGGAGAGCCTGCTTAGGATTCTCTCTCTTCCTCTCCTTCGGCCCCTCCCCTGCTTATAGGTGCACGAATGCTCTCTCCCTCTCCCTCTCTCAAAAAAAAAAAAAAAAAAAAAAGGATGCAATTAGAATGTCACCATTTTGCATTACATAATGAACTATAATAAAATACCAGATTCTAAACCATGATCATCAATGAATGCTTAACATCAAAGAAAAAGAAACAGCCAACCCCCACCCCACCCTGCACCACACACAAATACAACTCCCAGTAGGACTACCCACCACCACCCAGTAAGGATTCTTGATTTTTGCCTTCTTCCTGCAAAATCTAAGCTAGGTCTGATCAAGTCTCAAGACCCAGCTCCTAGTTTACAGGAAAGACAGGGGAAGGAGAGCATAGTAACTGACCACCCACAGGTGCAACCAGCAAAAGCTACAATGTAGGGAACTCTACAGGAAAACACCATTTCCTCACCTAATAATTAACACAGGGGATAAGATAAATACAAGGATAAGGAATAAGAACCTATAGATTGAGAGAAACAGTCAGAAGAACCAATTGCAATGTATATCCTATAAAACAAATTGTGAGACAAGCAAGGATGTTTGAATATTGCCTGGCCTCTTTTCATATTAAAGAATTACTGCCCATTTTTTAAAGCCGTTAATCGTACTGAGGTTTTTTTAAAGGAATATAGATGAGTGACCCATGGATTCATGGAAATTCATTATACTATTCTCTCTCCTTTTGGATGCTGAAATGTTTTATGATAAAAAGGGGAAAAAAGTGTTCTTAACTCTGGTGGTGGTCAGTGAATTCTTCTGAGGTCCAAACCCCAATGGCATAGGAATCACATTAGTGGTTGAGTATACATATACATGGTATGTATTATACATTAACATATACATTAAATAAAATGTTAAATATAAACTATAAAACACTTCTTTTATTGCCCCTACTTCTGACCTGAAGCATGAAATCAGGTTTGTCATCTAACCTCATTTAACACACCGTCTGCAGGAGCTGGTAAGTACTTTGCTCTCTTACGTATCTGCTTTTTACAGTAGCTGGCGAGGAGACTGAGGATCAGAAATATTCAAGTTCAAAGAATCCCTACTGGGTTTTTTTGTTTTTTTTTTTTTTTTTTTTTTTTTTTTTTTTTTTTTTTTTTTTTTTTGTTTTTTTTTTTTTTTTTTTTTTTTTTTTTTTTTTTTTTTTTTTTTTTTAGAGATTTTGACCTAATAAGTAACTCCCAGAATCACTGATCTTTTGGCCTGCTTTTTCAAAGCCCTGGTTATTCCATTTAGATTTAATTTACTAAAAACTACTCTTATGGAGAGCTTTTACAAATGCACCACAATAAATATCCCCTAATACTTTTAAAAACAGGATCAGAGCAAGAAGTAGACTGGCAGTTGGGAGCCCAGCAGTAGAAGAAATGGGGACCGGGTAGGGGCTCTTTCGGAGGCAAAGTGTTCCGGGATTAGACCATGGTGATGGTTTCACAACCTTGTGAATACCCTAAAATCCACCAAATCATATACGTTTAAAGGACAGATTTTATGGTATGTGGATTATATCTCAATAAAACAGATTTTACTAAACAGGATTAGAGGTATAAATTTTTCAGAAGTTTACTCCTTCATTGTCAACCTTTCACATAAAAAAAAAAAATCACCATGCAAAAGTAACAAATTTGTTTTTAAGTTAGTGCTTTTTTTCCATTTTTCCTTCCTAAGCAAAATAACAGCAAGCCTAAGAAAATCAGCAAATGATATCATGCTAACATAACTCACCAATTCTGGTTATAAAGTAGGAAATACTCTACAATTGTGGTGGCACCCACCAATCATTTCCCTGACACAGCTGGTGACTACCGTCTCTAATATTTTTAAAGTTCTGTACTAGTTTGCTACAGTGAACTTCCCTCCCCACTAAAAAGACCCAATTTTAATTAACCTTGAAGAATTTAAGGTTTGAGTAGTCAGGATAAACTCTGAAAGACAAATGACTTTATTCCTTCAATTAGTTTAAAGGGAAATAGTTTCAGCTTTGATAGTAACTTAGATAAAAACAACAACAACAACAACAACAACAACAACAACAACAACAACAACATCAAATGAGGGGTACCTAAGTGGCTTAGTCGGTTAAGCATCTGACTTTGATCTAGCTCAGGTCATGATCTCATCGTTTGTGGGATCGAGCCCCACAATGGGCTCTGCACTGACAGCGTGGAGCCTGTTTGGGATTCTCCTTCTCTCTCCCTCTCTCTCCACCCCTGCCCCACCCCCTGCTTGTTCTCTGTCTCTCAAAATAAATAAAGCCTTAAAAAAAGGAAACATCAGGGGCGCCTGGGTGGCGCAGTCAGTTAAGCGTCCGACTTCAGCCAGGTCACGATCTCGCACTCCGTGAGTTCGAGCCCCGCATCAGGCTCTGGGCTGATGGCTCAGAGCCTGGAGCCTGTTTCCGATTCTGTGTCTCCCTCTCTCTCTGCCCCTCCCCCGTTCATGCTCTGTCTCTCTCTGTCCCAAAAATAAATAAAACGTTGAAAAAAAAATTAAAAAAAAAAAAAAAGGAAACATCAAATGAGATATTCTGTATTAAGAGCCTAATAAGGAATGAGTATAAATAAAAATCAGCAACCCTAGCCTCCCGTTCTTTACGTGCCTGTCTCCAGGAGCTTAACCAAAGAATCAAGCTCTCTCACCACAGATCAACTTTAAAAATAAAGAACTGAGGAACACGTGAACTGGCTTTGAGCCTTCTTACTGATGCCTCTATTATTTGTAAGCAGAGGCTTCTCATTATATTAACTTTAAAATCCATCTGTAAGCTACAAATCAGGAACTGACAAACTGTGGCATGCGTCCACATTATGCAGTTTGTCGGTAAATGATTAGGAAAGAGCAAAGGGTACTTTAAAAACTTGGTGTATTATAAGCAAGGAGAGGTTTCTTTACTTTTGTTTTCTCTTGTAGCATATATTCTCAACTAGCTGAAGTGTCATTCTTTTCACAAACTTCTATCAACCTTCCAAATATATTCTGAATTAGATTCACTTCAGCCAAATCATCAAAGAGTGTTTACGAGGTGCCAGGAAACACCACTGGCCATAAAGGTGTGATTAGTAACAGCACCACAGGGAGCTGCACCCTAAATATAGACCAGTCCCACATGCCAAAAGGACACACCTAACACATAATAGCAGCTGGCAGCATTATACATTTAAAATAAAATGTGTTCAAAAGGAGACTCAGATCAGCATATCATGCCTGTTTGAGAAAGATAAAAAATTATCAGGGGAAACACATACAGGAAGACTGTCTAAAAGCACATGGCAATCCACACATTTACTTCCTGCTGTAACAGAGCAGAAAAATCTGTAAACCTTGGTTTTGCAACAAATGAACTTGTGCCAAAAAGGTCAAGTCCCCAATGGCTCCTCTGTTCATGTAGGAGGGAGCCCCCAAAGAGACAGCCCAAAAAAGCCCTAGAGCTGACTCCCTATGTGTGGAGGAAGTCAGATGCTCCAAACCTGAGAGACAGATCTAGACTGTCACCACACTGCAGGGGGCCAGGCACCCCCAACCCCAGCACAAGTATTACAGGTAAGTGGAGGACCAGGTTGGTAGAGATCACTGGGGCTTTGATGGTCCACAACATGGGCTCTAGGAACCCCAGGACTAGGGGACAAAAAAAAAAAAACAAAAAAAAAAAAACAAGGTAAGAATTCAGGACACATCCACATAAGGTCATATTCCCATCACTTTCAGGGAGACGATGGACTTCTAAACAATCAGTTGTTTTACTTAACTGAATAAGTGAAAAACAACCAAATGTTTGCTGAATGAAAGACACAAACATATTTTAATCACCAATGCTATTTGACTTAGTGTGCCTACAAGCTAGAAGAAAATGCTCTTGGCACTAACTTCTCAGGAAAATACTACAAGAACAAAGCAGTTAAAAATCCACTTGGGGCGCCTGGGTGGCGCAGTCGGCTAAGCGTCCGACTTCAGCCAGGTCACGATCTCGCGGTCCGTGAGTTCGAGTCCCGCGTCAGGCTCTGGGCTGATGGCTCGGAGCCTGGAGCCTGTTTCCGATTCTGTGTCTCCCTCTCTCTCTGCCCCTCCCCCGTTCATGCTCTGTCTCTCTCTGTCCCAAAAATAAATAAAACGTTGAAAAAAAAGAAAAAAAAATTTAAAAATTTAAAAATCCACTGGAACATCAGCACTTCCATGCATGTGGCAGGGGCGTTAGTTTAGGATTTCAGACTCTGATACTGTATCAGAAGCAGTCAAAAGGAACAGTAACACAGATCAGAAAGTTCAACTTTACCTGAAAGGTATGCAACTTTTTCCTTTAAAATTGGCAAAACATCCATAGCTTTCATTTCATCGTTTTTTCGAAACCCTGAAATACATAAGGAGAAAATCAAATTACTAGGTTGCTTGAGTGACATTTCATTTCTTACCCATTCTATCCTTTCCCAATATAGCAGCTTTATTCACACCCATTAAATCAACTTTAGAAATATCATTTGAAAGGATCTGAATTCTATGAAGGAAAAGACTCTGATCACAGAATTATCTTCTATTTTAATGGCAAATAATGATTTGCACACAGACCCAGAGGATCCCGTACCAAACAGGCTCCGGGTCATTTGTAGCAATAAAGATCTAGTCCCCAAAAAACACAGGGTATGAAACCAGTCCGGATGATTTCAAAAATCTTCACTTGAATCCTGTAGATTACTGTAAACACTGGCAAATAAAACAACAATATCACATTTTAAACACTGCAGCTGGTGCACACTGAAGCCCGTAGGGGGAGCTCAAAGTCTCCTCCTATCAGAACCCACAATGGTTAAAAATAAACAGTGGCAAGGAGAAGAGCAGGAATTATAAATAGCTGGGGACTGGCCACAGCTCCCTCTAGGCTCTATCCTTCCAGGCTTTCTGGGTCATGCCCCGCCTGGAGGAATGTCACTGGCTACTGGGGTAAAATGGCCCAATGCCACCTGTAAAGGCCCTCTTCTCTGTGTGAACCAACTCTCCCCATGCCCAATATTGCAGAAGGCAAGTGGAGGTATCATGGAAAAGAAGCACACAGCAAGCAATTTAGGCCAAGCCAACATCCATCTGAGCAAAAGGTATTCATGCAGCCCAATGTGTCTGGCCCAGCTCACTAGGGCAAATGCCCAAATGGGAGTCTGGGGCAAAAAATGTTCATTCCCATAATAATGCCTCAGGATAGTTCCCCTGGAGGTCTCTAACAGAGGAAATCTAGGTTCAGGATGCTGGCCATCCTCATCAAAACCAGTAACTATCATTTCTGGCTGAGCAGTCTCTAGGAAAAATAAAAGACCACTGGCCCATCGCTATTTTCCTGCTTGTTTTTGCCACAATAGTACAAGGAACGCTCCAGAACGGCAGCTTGGTAACACAACACAAGATGCAGACCTGGGATGAGAGCAAGGGAAGCACTCGCTGAACGAACAGGGCCTCCACCGTGGCAGGTCTGAACAGCCCCTACGGGACCAGCCCTGCCACAGAGGAAAGCTGTACAACTCAACCGTCTCAAGGCCCTGCAGGGTGCCCAAGAGCAGGAGACCCACCTGGAAAGAAAGGAATGGCACGGGGAGCATCTGACCAGCATCTGACCGGGGCTTTTAGCCTGAGGACAGGGCCCAGGCTAAGCCACGTGGAGCTGCTAACACCAGAACACAGGTCAGGGCAACCCCAGTAGCTGGGGAGAAACTGCGGAAAGGAGCAGGGGAGCCCCAAGTTCTGGGTATCATTTTGGCCCAAATTTCTGGCTCTCCCCTGAGCCTCACTTGTCCAGGGAAAGCCCTCGGCTGAAGATAAAGTATGTGACTGAGACTCAGGTCGCAGACCCCCGCAAAGGAGGCGGATTCGAAGCTTGAGTCCAGCCAAATTTGCAGCCTGACAACCCAAGCAAACAGTATCAAAGTCAGCACTTTGGGGAAGAATATAACAGAATCCAGCAGCTGCAATATATCATTCACAGAAGCAACGAATGGCTAAATTAATGGTGTAATTTCATTAAGTAAATCTCTCCTGCCTGTGGAATACTTGTATACTAAGAACCCAATTTAACAGGATTAAGCATGATACTGACAGTCACCAGAGACTCTGCACAAAGACAGCAACAAACACATCGCGATGAGGACCCCAAGGTCCAAGAGACACAGCGGCGTTTCCGCTCTGGTCATGAAAGGGCTCAACACAGAACCCATGCCCCCACGTCATCAGGCCACTTTGCTTTCCAATATACCAGGCTCCGTGCTGGCAAACCACCAAGCTTTTTTTTTAAAACAGTGGCTATTTATAAACGGCAAAATAAGAGCCAAGAGTTCTGCAATTTCATCCTTAAGGTCCCTTCAAAGCTCTTGAATGGAGGCAATCTAGTCTCAGCAACTCACTGCTGTCACTGGGTAATTCACAGGATCCATCGACAAAGACAGATTACATCTCAAGTCCATCTGGTGTGGACGGAGATGTCAGTCGGGCAAACACAAAGAGCAATTAGGTGCCACAGTGGCTCTCAAGAAGACAAGTTTATAAATACCTATATAGCCAGGCATAGTATGCAAAGTCCCGTTAGCAGCACAAAGTGCTATGGGCCCCGGACAAATGAGGAGGCAGCACATCCAAGGACAGAAACAGGAAGAAGCAGTAAGCCCCAGCTGTAGATCCCAATCTACAAGGATCTGAAAAGAAGATCCCCCTTCTATCGCTACCAGATAAGAAAATACGTGCTTTCCACCATTCCACTGCCTCTCCCCCACACCCCACCCCACGAAGCCCTGGCAGCAGAGCCCTCGGAGAGGGACCACGGCGACTGCAGTCCTGGATCCCCATGCTATGGGAACAGGAGCCCCACTTGAGGGTCCAGCGCCTCTCACACAACCCTTACCAAGCATCCTAACCCCAGTGCCGCACCTCACAGGAGAGCCGAGTAACTTACATAATTCCAAGGCGTTCTTAACAATTCCTGCCGACTCTGAAACAAGCTGTTTATTACTACCCTTTATGGAGTGAATGATGGAAGTCAGAGCTGCTGCGTTCCAGGACACCCCACAGAAGGACAGCATACTGACATGAAAATAAGGTGAACTGAACAAAACTTCACGACGCAGATCTCGATTTCCTACGACCCACTGGAAACCACAGACTCACTCCCGTGTTTTAGTTTCTAAAAACTAGTCTTATGCCTCTCAGGTTCTGAATCTCTGCCCTAAGTTAAGATTCAGAGTCTTCAGTGGAAGAGGAAAGGCACTAGGAGCTAACCCGGTGCTGAAGTCTGTTTACTACCATGGTGACAGACATGCACGTCCAAACATTCAGTACAACAGAAATTCCTCATGGTTTTACCACAATATTCTTGTGGAAGAGGTCACAGAAAAAGAGATGTTATCTCAAAGTCAAATTAGAAGTCAAATTAAAACTTCTAAAATAGAAAATTTTTAAAAAACATATAAAACTAACGACACAAAGAAATGGAGTTTGTAACTAGTATGGCATTCACCTAAGTATGTATCATCGTTAATCTTGTTTCCATTGTTTTTGTAATCTTTATTTATTTTTGAGAGAGAGAGAGAGAGAGAGCTGGGGGAGGGGCAGAGAGAGAGGGAGACACAGAATCCGAAATAGGCTCCAGGCTCTGAGTTGTCAGCACAAAGCCCGACAGGGGGCTCTAACTCACGAATGGTGAAATCATGACCTGAGCGGAAGGCGGACGCTTAACCGACTGAGCCACCCAGGTGTCCCATTTTTAAAACCACACCCAATAGGCAAAAGGCTGAGGAAGCATGTACACATACCATAAAGCCAGATTAAATATATCATGTAACTTTTCATAAGAAAGGAAGAACTCAGCCATGAAATATCCCTTAGATCAAAAAGGCAGATTCTGTTCCATGCTCCGAAGAGCTATTTATGAAAATAGAGTATGCAACTATTAAAAAACAAAATTTCCAAATACATGGCTTCTGTGCTACTCCAGTGACTGTAGATTATGCTGCAGATACGACAACTCCTACTATGTTCCTTCTTTGTAAAAGATCTAGCTGTGGTTTCTAAACTTTTGAATCAAGAGGATATGCTCCCTGACTCTCCCTATAAGCACATACCTCTCCCTCCCGTGCTCATGGATAGAGAAAACAATGACAAATGCCATCTTGGAGGGATGCTTCTGAGGTCTCAGACCATATCTGTGTGTCACAGACCACAAGTCAGCAGCAGTTTTACTTCTAAGTGCCACCAAGGGAGTTTGAAAATGCCACGAACAGGTGAAAGGGGGTGCCACAGAGAGACTTTTGGTAAAATTTACAAGAAAACCAGAGCAGTTTGACTGAATACCTCATGACATTAAAAAAAAAAAAAAAAAAAAAAAAAAGAGCAGCTTGAAAAGTGATAAAGAGGTAAATAAGTGGCCAAAGTCAGGGGACATTTAGTTATATCCATCTCTTAAAATTACATACTTTTTAAATTACACAGTCTATTTTAAAGAGTGCAGAAAGGGGTGCCTGGGTGGCTCAGTCGGTTGGGCGTCCAACTTCGGCTCGGGTCATGATCTCACAGTTCGTGGGTTTGGGCCCTGCATTGGGCTCTGTGCTGACAGCTCGGAGCCTGGAGCCTGCTTCAGATTCTGTGTCTCCCCCTCCCTCTGCCCCTCTGACCAATACTCTGTCTCAAAAATAAATAAACATTATAAAAGGAGGGGAGGGAAGGGACGGAGGGAGGGCAGAAAGACAGACTAGATTCTTGTTACAAAGGAGTTTCCCTATCTGAGACAAAGAAGCGAATGTGGATTTTAATCAACCGCTAGCCTCAGGACAGTGACCACAGCATAAGGATACAGTCAGTCAAGGCTCATTTGTAGGTGCAGAGGAGGCTTCCCAGGGGAGCCCTACAAGGCATGCAACCACCACTCTGCTGAACCAGGTCTATCGGAATGTTCACATGATAACATCTGCCATTGCTCTAAGATCTTGATGTTAATATTTGCTGAATGATACGGAGGAGAAAGGAGTGTGGGTTAAGAATCAGATGTTACTGTGTGTTAACATAAACATGCAGTTGGTGTTTGATAATTTTCTTTGCTCTTCCCCGGTTCAACACAAACAATGCCTTTTCCTAAAACAACTAAATTTGAATATTTGGAGGGTCTAATACATTCATTTAAAAACATCTCAGGGCACCTGGCTGGCTCAGTTGGAAGAGCACGCAACTCTTGATCTTGGAGTTGTAGGTCTGAGCCCCTCACTGGGCGTACACTTAACTTAAATATTTTTTGAAAGCAGGGGCGCCTGGGTGGAGCAGTCGGTTAAGCGTCCGACTTCAGCCAGGTCACGATCTTGCGGTCCGTGAGTTCGAGCCCCGCGTCGG